CGACTACTGGTACTGTTATGATTAATATTGCTGATACTTTAACTGTGACTACGAGTACTACATCTACTGCTACTACTACTACTACTACTACTACCACTACTAATACCACAACCACTACCACTACCACTAATACTACCACGACTACTACCAGTACTACTACGACTACTACTACTACCACCACTGCGACTACTACTACGTCTACTACGACGAATACTACCACTACTACTACTACTACTACTACTACTACTACTACTAGTGCTACTGCTACTACTACTACTACTACTACTACTACTACTATTACTACGACTACGACTGCGACTACGACTACTACTACTACTGCTACTACTACTACTACTACTACTACTACTACTACTACTAGTACCCCTGCTACAACCACTACTACGACCACTACTACTACTACTACGACTACTACTACTACTACTGCTACTACTACTACTACTACTACTACTACTACTACTACTACTGCTACTACTTCCACTACTACTACTACTACTGCTACTACCAGTACTACTGCTACTACTTCTTCTAGTAGTAGTAGTAGTAGTAGTAGTATTACTACTACTACCGAAACTACCACGGTTACAACAACAAGAACAACTACTACTACTACTACTACTACTACTACTACTTCTACTGTACTACTGCTACAACTACTGCTACTACTACCACTACTACTACTGCTACACTACTACTACTACGACTACTACTACTACTACTACTACTACTACTACTACTACTACTACTACTACTACTACTACTAGGGTCAAACTTGACTCATGGACTGGAAGGCTCGGGTTTGGGTTCGGGCTTGGGTTGAGTTTCAATCGGGAACCTCCGTATTGGAAAGATAAAAAATTCGTGGGATTTCAATAGACATGCAATAATAATCTAATAGAGTGCCATTAGAATTCAGTAGGTATCCAGTAAGATGCCTTCCTAACGAACTTCAGTAATAATTCAATTAATTCTTCGAAAACGTATGGGAGCCAAACACGTGACCAAAGAAGGGGCAATAGGTGAAGTGCCACATGCACAAATCCCGAATGAGGTTCTCGTAGACTGATACTGAAGGCCCAGCCAAAGTACCGGCTTTAAATACGCGGGAACTACTGCTAAGCTCTGCTGAGCCTCGCGCAGCCCCGTGAAGACCTGCGAGACTCTGCTACAGTCTGCTGAGCCCTGCTAAGTCCTGCTGACACCTGCTGAACTTTGGTAAGCCCTGCTGTGAGCGCTGGCTAGCCCTGGTGAGCCGTCCTACCCCTGCTGGGCTCTGCGAAGCCCTGCAGCGCCCTGCTTGGCGCTGCAGGGCCCTGTCAGTTCTGGTAAGCAACGCATCGCCCCGCTGAGCTCTGCTAGTCAGGACGAAACCCTGCTGGCCTTTGATGCGTTTTGCGTGGTGTGTAGTGTTTTGTGTGTCGTGGTGTGTTCTGTTGGCTGTGTTGTGTGTGGTGCGTTGCGTGTTGTGTGAAATGTGCGTCTGTTGTGTGCGCGCGTGTGACACAGCTGACGACGACGAAGACGACCGCAGCCGCGACGATCTGGGAACTGGCTTCTGACATCGCGTGGGTCGCCCACTCTTGAGCGATCTGCTCACTTGGAGGCTCTCCTGGAATCATGATTTCGGACCGCGGAGCGATTTCCGTGAGTCCTGGGGCCCCACAATAATAACACCCTGGGCGCGTTCAACCTTGCGCGCCCACGCTGGAGCGCAAGTGGTCATCTTCATCTCCTCGATCACCGTGCTCTAAGAGGGCCCCGACGGGCCCGAATGAACGCACTACGTTCGGTACTTTTTTTACGCACCGAGGCCTGCCCGGTCTGGCAAGCGTCAAAAAAACAATGCCCATTATGATGGCGGCTTTAAGACGGCCCCGAGGGCCTTCAATACGACCCCACAAGCTTTGAGCGCCCCCTCGGAGACCTCCTGAAGCCTCTCGGCAGCTGCCAGGGGCCTCTCGGGAGCTCTCAGAAGCCTCCAAGGAATTCCCAGATGCCTCTCGGCACTTAGAATGCTCAGGGGCCTCGCGGGAGCTTGCTGAAACCCTTCGGACGCGCGCATGATCCTCTCGGGAAACCCCAGATGGGCCTCTCGGGAACTCTCTGGGTTCCCACTTGGAGCTCTTTGAAGACGATCGAACTTTCCCAGAAGCCTCTCGGGGGTTTTCAGGAGCCTCTCGGGAACTACCGGAAGCCTCAGAGGACGCTCTCAGAAGGTGTCTCGGGAAGTCCCAGAGGCCTTTCGGACGCTGTCAGAGGCCTCCCGGGGAATCGGGACGTCTCAGATACCTCTTCGGATGCTCACAGGGGCCCCTTCGGGAGCTCTCAGGCCCTTTCGAGAGATTTCAGGACCTTTCGGTAATTTGCAGAGACCTCTGGGAAGCTCTCAGAGGCTTGTCGTGGTGTCTCAACAGCACGTCGGGATCTTTGAGAAACCTTTTTCCAGATATTCGCAGGGCCTCTCGGAGGCTCGCAGAGGCTT